TACACACCACTTTTTCTTTTGTCTTGTTTTTCTTCTTTCTTTCCAAATTAAATCGTTGTACACTGATGGGTCTATAAGCCTATGGAATTGCTAATCTTCCTATGATTTAGGCAAAGGCTGGAAAACTTTAAAGGAAGCATAAACTGAGATGGCATATGAACATTTTGGCTTATGTATTATCGTAACAAATGAGACGGTGAATTAAATTACAGCCATGTGATTCTACCTGCATGAACCATAAACTCAGTAATTAAGCACCAGCCACGCTTAAATGCAAAGAAGCATGCACAGAATAAAGCTGTATCATGGGTAAAGAGTCTTCCTGCTTCTTAACTGCGAATAGGTTTCTGAACGACAGTGATTCCAAATTACCACCAAGAGAACTATCAAGTGTAAAAAAGTGAATCATGGTTGAATTCAGATAAGGGTTAATAACTAGGTAAAATTTAATGGCAATTCAATAGCCCAAGTAGATGTCTATCTCCTATAAATTATAATGCAGTCAGTGCTAATACACACACAATTGTGCTGATACACTTTAGCTCTTAAGGGGAATGACACAAAAGTGTAACTCTCTGTATGGACCTGTTTGTTCATGTGACAGAGCATATGTAGAAGCTTGCTGGCACCAAGCAAAAGTACTTGGTACTCTTTCTATCTGTTTGTGTATCATTTAATTCTCACCAGAAACATCCAGGGAGTACCTGATTTCATGCAACATGCAGAGTGTGTATAAGTATCTGTCATCATGTAGCTTGTCCTACGTGACTTTGTTAAAGTACCCATTGAAATTTTGAAGATTTATACATGTCAAGGCCAGAAGGGACCATTTCGACAATTTAATTTGAGCTGGGATCTTTAAAAGTGGCTAAATAAATTAGATAGTCAAATCACATTTGAAAATAACATCCTAAGGTGCCCTTCAGAAACACATCTTTAAAGCTTCCAAGGCATAGAAATCTATCATACCCTTTAATAGGGATTTCTCTGATTAATTGTGTACCATGTGAATGGCTGCTATGGTGCCTCAGCCAAAACTAGTGCAGAGATGTATCGACTAAACAGCAGCCAAAACTTTTAAAACAATAGTAAATTAATAGTTTAAGGACTAGATAAGCTTTCCAGTCAAGAAGCTATCCCTGCCCTATCCCTACCTGCAAAACCAACTAGTGTTTCTGATAACTTTTGTAAACCACCCAAGCTTTGCTTTGCGGGTTTATGACGCCCCAGGAATGTCAGAGTGGAATTGTAGCCACATTTTTTTTGTAGTTACCTATTATTTAACCCATATGTAATGCAGAGGTTGCCATGTGTTTCTGCTGGTTCCCAGGTGCCTATGAGATCTTAAAATCAAAATATCGAGGCTCACTAGTGAGGGATATGACTAGCAGCAGCATGTCTGTACTGTAAGTTCGGTATAAAAGCTGACAAGTATTCTGTAGAGACTTTGTCTTCTTTGATCATTACCAAGGTCTGGTCAGGAATCGTGAGAAATATTCACAGGACTTACAGCAACCAGAATAGATCAAATGAGAGACTGAAGTCCAGAATAGCAAGAAATCCTCACAGAATTGCTCATTTAGTTGAATTACATAAGCAAATATCTTATTTATCATTTATAGTTTTTAAATTTTCATGAATGATGCTAATTTCACAGAATAACAGAATCACAGAATGGCAAGGGTTGGAAGGGATCTCAGGAGATCATCCAGTCCAACCCCCCTGCTAAAGCAGGTTCACCCAGAGTCGGTTGCACAGGACATCATCCAGATGGGCTTTGAATATCTCCAGAGGAGACTCCACAGTCCCCCTGGGCAGCCTGTTCCAGGGCTCTGTCACCCTCAAAGTAAAGAAGTTTTTCCCCATATTCAACTGAAACTTCTTATGCTTCAGTTTGTGCCCATTGCCCCTTGTCCTGTCGCTGGGCACCACTGCAAAGAGTCTGGCTCCATTCTCATGACATCCACCCTTAAGGTATTTGTATGTGTTGATGAGGTCCCCCTTGGTGCTTGCAGTATTCTACACTGAGGAAATGGAAATACATTGTAATACTAAGTACTTGTATGGGACAGTAATTACAATTTTATTTATTGGAAAAAAATCTGTATTTTGTGGGGAAGTGTAGCAGTTAGCTTCTACCAGAGAAGTCCTGCTGTAAGTCAGTGTGGCATGGCTGGGGTGAGTCTTTCAGCCTCTCTTCTCAGCTTACCCATATAAAAAAAAGATCCAAAGTATACTTTAAAAGGTTTATCTATCTATCCAGTGAGCAAAGCTTAACTAATTAACATATACTAAGCCCTTTAAGAAACAGAAATGAAAATGACTGCTTAAGGAACAAAGGGATAGCGGGAGAGTGGGAAGAGCTTTAAGTCGGCCGCCCTCCTCAAATCCCATGTGGACCATCCTGAGCTACAAACCTGCTGCCCCTAGATTGGCATGACTGACAGCATCAGTATAAGGAATCCCTCTGAAGGAGTGAGAACGACAGTAAATTACCTCTTATAATTATGAGAGGAAATCTCAGAGGTCATAGCTGGGGTTAGCAGTGGGGCAGAGCCGGGGCTGTACTTGAGCTGCAGCTGCTGCAGTGCACCTGGCCTATTAGTGGGGACCTGCATTTTCAGCACTGGCTTCCCCTGGAGATCAATAATTAAAAAAGTATTTTTTTTTAAAAAAAGACCTCGACGCAGCAGTACAGACTGTCATATAGAAAGTTCTGAACCACCACAAGTGAAGGGTATCTTATATCTTAGGAGTGGTACATGCTGAAAGCAATATTAAATCAAGCATGTTTTATATGCCACTTTATTTGTCCTCTATATCTCTTGTTCCTTCTAATGAGAGTCTGTTGAGTTATTTTTATGGTCTTTATATTTCACACTCCCAAGGTACTGACAATGGCTTTAAGGAATAAATGAGGGAGGAATAATGCGTTTCTTAAATGATCTGTAATCTTTATCTGTAATTACAGTTAAAGCAGTTACATTAAGCACTTTGTTTGTAATGCACTGTTTTATGGGAAGAATGGGTACTTGTAAATATTAAAAAATGATGACCTGAACACATAAGGATATATATTCCATCCTTCTAGTTGCCTGTCAAAATTGGACACACATTACATATGACCTATGCATCTTTTTTTTTTTTTTTATTTCTCACTTCCTCTTGCAGAGAAGTCTGAAAGTTCAAAACCAAAAGCAAATCCACCCCCAACAACCCATATATGTGAAAAGCGTTTTTCAGAACAAATTATCTGATTCTAGGAACATTTTTTGCTGTACTACTGTTATCCTCAGTTTGGGCTGCGTCGTGTCCCGAACTCTGTGCCCTTCTTTTCCACCAGCTCATGGGAGGCTGCTTCTAACGCACAGGGTCACACACAGCACTGGAGTGTGGCATTGGCTTCACCTTTTACTCGTGATCAGCAGGTGTAGCCACCCTAATACCATAGGAAGCGAAAGAATCAAGGTGAATAAAATAGTTACAGTATAAATAGTCCTCTCAAGCTTAACACAGCCAGAGGATGGGGGCCTGAACTTCCCGGTTCACTCCAGAATAATAATGTTTTACGACGAATGGATTGGAATCAGCCTAGCACAATGTATAAAACATACTCCTTCTTACTATTTTGAATTTCTAAAAATAATTACTAAAAATTAAGAGTATACTTTCATTCTAGGTGCTGAATCTCTTACTAATTTTCTAGGTTTCAACCCCAGCTATAAAAATATCTACTTAAGGTAATATCATAATACTTAGTATAAGATCAAGCTGCAAGGTTAGTTAATTTGCTCAGACATTTAACACTAGCCTTATTTTTTTTTAACTTTGAATATTAGACATTCTAGTCCTCACCTTGTAAAGTACTCCTGAAAATTATTTGTGAACCTGAAGGTGGATTAATTTAAATGTATTATTTCTTTGTAATGAGATAGCCTAAGTATCTGACACTTTAGCTGTCCCTTCACATATATAGCTTAGCCCATATTTCTTAGTTTTCACCTAAACCACCTCTGCTGTTCCCAAATGGCATTTTATGAAGACAACTGTCCTCTATGGCCTAGGTAAAGACTGATGAAACTATTTTTATTATGACCTAGGAAATTATTCAAATGGAACTCTCTAGAGGCATATGGTTGGCATTATGAATATTTTACAGAATAGTCTCTGAAAATCAGGCCAATAGCATATACACAGGGGGCCAAGTTCCACTCTCAGTTATACCTTGGCAACCACAATGATTTCCCATTTGGCTATGCTATGCAAGTATTTGTTTGGCTTATTGCATGCATGTATTTTTTATCTTTTTTCTGCTTCTTCAGCCCTGCCTTCCCATTTCCCATACTGTTCTTATAAAGAAGACGGTTATTATCAGTGTAGAATGATTATTATTTGGAGGCTACTGGCTATGTCCCTCCCGCCTGATAGATATAGGCAATAAGGTGTACACAGGAATGAGGGAAAATGTACAGAAAATTATGCCTAGTGTAACTGTCTTTCCTGAGGCACCAAAACTGATGCAGAATGTTAAAACCACTTTGACCTCAGTCTTGCTAGGAACTCCATGCAGGAAAGAGCTCAAGGAAACCCACTGACTCCAGTGGGATGCCACAAAGAGAAAGCACTTCTTGGAACTCACTGTAGGACTGGGACATGGAGCAGGGCCAAAATAGGTCAAAAGATTATGTACTCTGAGATCAGGTTTAATATTTCTCATTCTGATGTCTCTTCTCCCTTCTCTTTCTTGTTGATTTTTTTTTTGGTAGATAAATTTTATTTAATTTTTGTGATTTCCACTTACAAATTTAAACCCTTGGTCATAAAGACATAATTTCATTATTTTTAATAAGAAGACTGAGATAACTTAAGACTGAAGTTTTCATCGGATGTGTGACCTTGCAGAGGAGGAAAGATACTTTAAGAATTAACAAAATAAGACATAATAAAATATTTACAATGTTTTATCAAAGGAAAAAATTGCTAGAAAGATTTGTACTTACCAGAATATCTTTTCCAGCCCACTTGCACTCATCCCTTCGGGAATGAGATACAGGCCAAACAATCTAAAGACACAGAACAAAAATCACATTGTGTTATTTCATGCCTCAATAATCACAAATTGCAGACCAAATGCTACAGAGCATTTTTACCCAGTTTCTCTTTTCCCCATTCTTTTCCTTATTTCTTTTTCTTCCATAAAAATTGTCAACAAAGAAATTAAATGATAGAAGCAAAATAGAGATAATAGGAATCACAGTAAAAACAATCTTGAAATATAGTCTGTATTGTGAATCTCAGCCGTGAATCTTTAATACTAATGATAAGAGGGCTGACTCTCCATTAAGTGAGTGTTCTTCCACTGTTTTAAATCTGATGTAATGGAATTGAGACTGAGAGAAAAAAAATTGGAGATACTTACTAACAATAAATTGGAGCTATGTGAAATGAAATCTCATGTTAGAGTTACAGCACCAGAAATGAGGTGTTTGCCTCTTCAGTGCATCTAGCAGTTCACTCTTTTGCTAGGTTTAGTTAATTAAATAATAAAAAAGAAGCCACGGTATTTGAAAAGTATCACACCATCAAAATAGAAATGTTTATACTGTTCCCATAGAGCTACCCTAACACACATAAACCTAAACCTAGGTTTACTGTAGTGTTTGCTTAGCAGAAAATGGATCTCACCTCATACAGAGAAAATCCAGAGACCCTCACAGTCAATTATTCATGTTTTTTTGAAAAGCTTTTAGGAATTACATATAGAATAAAACATGATCTTCCCATAAAATGCCAGGCTATTCATTTGGGAGCCTCAGATAATGCAATATGAATGGCCATGAGTCTGGATTACAGCCTTGGTGTTCAATACAGTTTGTTAAAAGAAAGTGAAGGGCAAAGTGTTCAAAAAGAAAGTAAAAAAGAATTAATATGGATGACAGAGGAGGTCGGAGGAGATGTTATGTATGACATTTGAAAACACAGTTTGCAACCACATTTTTAAATTAAAAATTTTCCTAAAACTTAATGAAATCCAACAGCAATCGAACATCTTAAGTCTGTAAAATAAAGCTGAAAATTTTATGAGCACATTCTCTCTCAAAGGTTTCCTGCTACTTCCTGTTCCTACGCTCAGCTTAAAATGTGCAGAGACATGTGAAAATTTAAATTTACTAGGTTGAAAAACATTAACCAAACTTCTCAGATCTCCCAAAAGGACTATTTCAAGTTCAGTTGAAGATTTGGGGAAAGATTTCTATATTATGCAAACCAGCATTCTAATCCATAAAACAAATGGCTAGATGTTCTTTATCCTTATTCTCACAGCAAAGTATTTTCCTCTAACTTGGTTTAACACTCAGCTAAACTGAACCATTTTTAACAGACTGGAAAGTTTGGCTTTTCGAGTTGTGCTCCTTTGGAGTCATATGATGCTATCAGCATTCAGACAGAAACCTGAGTTCTTTTTTACATGGTGGAAACAACAACTGGTGAAACTGGAGCTCAAGTGCAGCACTGGCTGCATTGTGATTTTGATCGAAGTTTCCTCAGTGACCTTCCTGTCTTTAATAAGCAGATACCCAAATTCTTTAAGCCTTTTGTCTGTTCTTAAATCTAAAGTCTAAACTGTAAGTCTGCTCTTTAAGTTTGTTGCCAACACTCAGTTCCACGTTACCAACAGCAATTCTTTATTTAACACAGTAATAATTGCATACAATTTCAAATAGCATTCTAAAGGTATCTGAACATGTAAGTATGTAGGATACAATTCCTCCCATTCTACAGAGCTGTTCTCTGCAATGGAAACACCTTCTTTCCTTTAATTATTCCAGATGTTTTGCACATTAAGCTATCAATCCCTCAGAGAATTCAAATAAATAGCTAGTTTCCTTTATAGCTGCTCTAAAGAGAATAGAAAAGAAAATACCCGGTTTTCCTTTTATCCTTTTCCCTTAGAGAATACAAATGAATAGCCTGTCTTCCCTCTGAACAGAAAACACAAAGTATTTATTGCTATCATCTTAGGAAGCTAATAGTCAAACGGGCAAAAGGTCAGGAACACCAAGAAAAAAAAAATCCCTGGGTATTGAAGCAATATATCTCTCATAAAAGGGTACTCTCTGGATTTTAGAATGTGCCATCAAAATACTTATATATAACAAATCAAACCTCCAACCTGATGTTTACCTTCTTAGCATTTTGGCTTATTAAAATAAATGAAAAATGAAATTATTTATTTAGGCTCCAACAAAATAATATCACTGAACTGTCAGCTTTTAATTTGTCATCAACTTTTACTGGAAAATGGTACCTTCCATCAAGAATGGCAAGCTCTTATTGACCTATTCCTCTTTTATTAATACTGAATCTATTTTGGCTTGAAAGCAGCAGAAGCAAAGTGCCTACAAGTACTGGGTTAAAGGAGACAAATTAACACTTAGACTCCCAAACAGCTTCTTTTTATCTGCAAAGAAATAGAGTAATAAGGCCTTTTTGTGTAAACCTTCATAAGAGTTATTTGGGTTTTTTAGCAGTAAACATGAAAGTATGTCTTGCTTGGGAAACAGCTGGATTATTCACTTGTCATTTACTTTTTCATAGTCTGAAAAATGCATTGTAGATTATACAGTCATAGGTTATAGGCTCATTATACATTTCTCTTCCTAGAGTGAGCAAATGTTTTTATTGTAACAGTATTCCTGACATCGAAGTACTTACTACATAATTCATACAGTGCCCAGTATAGCCTGAGTAATAACTATTCTGCAACATTAAGAGTCTATATTTACATTGTACAAAACATGAATGAAAGTACCTTTTGATATTCCTTGATGTTAACCAGGTTGAAAGAAAATATGTGATCCTTTGCTCCAACATACAGCCGACTCCGTTCTTCATCCAAGAGGAAAGTATGGTAACTGGAGCTATTAGCTAGTCCATTGAAATGGATTATATTGTTGGATTCCAACATTTCTGTAAGATAAAGGTAACGATTTCCTTGTTAATATGGTCAAATAACATACAGACTTATATTTTGACTTGCAGTGATTTCATTTTAGGAATTTGCATTTATGGAGTAAAAACCAGTGAAAACATTATGTACCTGGGCCCATGAATGTTTCTATTTCAAGTACCCAAACCCAAACTGCTTGTGAGATTCAGCTCTACACAAAGGTCAAAACATCAATGAAATCAATTAAAATCCTTGTATGAGGTTTTAGGTGGTAAAATTCTATCCATGTAACTCATCGGCTGTTGGACAAAGTTCAATTTTGTTCAATCAATGAGATTTACAAGGATAAACCCGAGGATGACCAGCTGATAGAAAACACATCTAAACACAAGATCTCCTACTTCCAGCATACAAAACTATTTCATACAGATCTGTAAGTTATGAGAAAGGGAATAAGAATGACTAGTTGACAAGATAAAATAACATGTGCAGCCTATTCTTACATTTATTACTATCTTCCCAGCTTACTGACACAGGCAGCATGTTGTTCCTTTCTTGGAACTGTGTATTTATCTATCACAAGAATAAAACCAGAGAAGTTAGTTTTGCTTCTCTTTAAACTTAAGAATAATTTTCTAGTTCTCACACTCATCACAGAGCTGTTGCACTTGCTGAGGACAGGATTTTTTTTAAGTACAAGGATACACAGAACGCTCTTAGCTATTCACAAACATTGACAAAGCCATACACATTTTCCCAAAAATGCATAAAAAATTATTTTCTGTAAGATAATGCAGGCCATATTAGTA